GAATACCAACGCCTGGATTCACGACAACTGCAAAGAAGGAAGTACGAAAGCCTGTTTTGAGAAAGAAGACTTACTGAATATCTGTTTGTGCCTAAGAGAAATGCACCTCGGGTAATATCTAATATTGAATCGGATATGCCCTTGCTGTTTGGAGGTTGAAGATGATCTTAGCCTAGGAAAAAAGCTTTAGAAAATTAGAGGCACTCGGTTTATTTATCCTCGCGCCATGTAGCCAGGTACGGTTTTGTGATACAAATTTTGTATTTCCACCATGGTTTAGGTCCTTCATGACCTAGATTTTTGGCCTTCAAATTTAAGATGATTAAATCTTGGTACTTTCCGAAAATTAGTGACATACAGGATGATTGATAAGGGTAGGATTGAGTTGGGGAGCCTGAAGGGTCTCACATTTCTTAACAGGTATGTGTGTGTATGTTATGAACCTACATATCTTAACAACAGATTATGTATGTTAATTGTTTTCAAATCACGATTAGAACCGTAACCGTAGTACGTTTTGTTGACGTTATCGAAGTTTTCGTTCGTCTTGAAGTTCCAAGCGTTTTGATTTTAAGAACACAATCGAGTTTATAATTGTATGGGACCTCCATCGTGTATAACTTAATCACGCTTTCGAGCATCTTGCTTGATTCCCAAGTTAAAACCACGAACACTTGTACAAAACGAAAGTTACCCATAATACTAAGCCCCTACTTTTCTCTTCTATTTTTCGCTACGGTAAAACCTCTCTAGAGTAATACTCTGTATAGGAATAATCTTCTTATGGTTATGAAAAATAAATAAATGTTTCGGTCCCAATTTGGGTCAATTATATATAGTAATAAATTTCACATTGTAATACGTTATAACTTTTCTAGGTTCTATATTAAAGAAAGTCGACTTCATATGGTAATAAATTGTCAATAAGTATAAAAATATGCAATGTCACAAATAAAAATTTAAGATGGACTAAAATATTTCTTTATAATTGCTTGAGACAATCTTTTATTTTTAGAGTTTCTACCAGTCTTTGAGCTTGTGGGTATGTAATACCTCGTCATCATGAACATCTTCTTAGTGAAGCCATAATGTTTCTAGCTTCTTAAGCATGTTTACAAAAAAGCATTAAAAAGAAAAAAGTTAAAAGCATAGCAGTGTGTGACTGATTTAATACCGCAACTACAACACCACCTTTTTATCCATTAATTTAGTCTTATATTCATTACAAAGTAATCAAACCGTTCCCTGTTTTAGGATCTGCATAAAATGTTACGTGTGAGTCTTTTCACACGACATTGTATTATTGAATTGAGACGTTACGTGACGGTAAATCTCCATGTAAGTTGCTCTCCCAAATTTTAACAAGAGCATTTTAGCATTCACCGTTGCACCTAACTCCTAAGAAACTTCCAACTCCCACCCTTCTTTAAAAGAAAAAAGGAAAAGAAAAAGAAAATCTCATGATCTTCCTATTTTTCCAAGACTTGAATTCCTTTTCCCTTTCCAGTTAATCAAACAATTCTTTAATTTCCACGAAGTGAAACTAACACCAACTTGCATTAGAACTAATTAAAATGTTGTTAACAAATGTTAAGCCAAAAAACCACGCAAAGTTCGAATTCGGATTGAAAAAAGGGAGCTTCAACCTTGTCCCAAATAGCCGATGAGAGAGACCGCCGTCTAAAACGCTATGCTAGAACTTATGATACATACATATATATATATATATTACATTTTACAACATGTTTACAAGGATACAAAAAATTTCCATATGTTACGAACTACAAGGCTAGCGCTCGAAAATTGGAGATTTGGTCCAAACGTGCACCTTTTGTGTAAGTCCTGTCATCGTGAAGAACGAGCACCTCCAGTGTGCCAGATTCTTTTAACCAGGCGGCAGCCACAGAGCTCGTTGATATAAAACTACCCAAGTTACACTTGGCAACGTGAAAGGGTGCACCAATGCTAGTAAGAAGCGCCTCAATAGCTCGTCTTAGGGTACTGTCAGCTACTACTTTGCTGTGCTTCCCCCATCCTGTTAGAATGCTGCAGGGATCGATAAATAAACACAAAATTCCGAACAAAAATTATGCAAACAGTGACTTGTTTGATGAGAAAAAACGCAAACCTTAACAGGTTCGGTAATTGTTGGCCTTTAAACACTATAGCGCGTATATTGAGCAACCATACATGGACCATTGCCTGGGCAACCCCAGAAGACGTTAAATGCAAATCTAAGCATGAATCAGACCACACACTCTCCCATACGTTTTGGCGTTTCCCTTCATGCACAATCAGTTGCGCCCCTTGTTTCAGTTTAAATACACAGAGACAAAATGAAACTCTTCAACGTGGAAAAAGAAATTTGGACATCAAATTGTTTAGGGTAAGGGAAAAACACGTCCGCCTGAAAAGGTGGCATAAGAAGTCCGTAAGAAGTCCATAAGAAGTCCGTGGACAACCCCATAAACTTGGTTACCAAACAACCGGAGTTGCTCCAATAACATTGAAGCATCTTCAAATGAATTACAACTGCTGCATTTAAGGCCATTGAAATTTGAAACAGAGATTAACCATAAATTCTGGGAGGCTATTGGACTACGTTTCCATAGATAAGCATAAGGTTAGGAGAAAGAAACAGAGATTAAAGAATTCACATCATATTTAACATTAGATGTCCTAACCAAACCAACAAAGCATTTGTAGCATGATAACCTCAATGACATTCCAGTGAAAGGTGGTTGTCTTTCACCTTCCACTAGTTGAAATGAAGTTAAGTAGGTAGGGTTTCCTTTGCTTAATTTGTTTCTTCTTGGACTAACAACTTACTATGAGTAAACAGTCCTTAAAATAGGCACCTATGACTGTTGTGTTTGAGACTATGCCTATTTTTGTGCATATATTTAAGAACCCTATGCTGCATATAATTCTTAACAGTATCATAACCGTATTTATTCTGTTCCACGTTCACTCATGTTCCTCATATGCATAACAACCCACGTAGCTCAACTGTTCCGCGGAGAAATATGAAAGCAAACTTTTAAGAAGCGTGACCAAAGGATGATGCAGTATGTAAGCCATACGCAATAAGAAACTGAAACTGAAACTGAAACATCTATGAAACTGAAACTGAAACTACAAATAAATATAAATAGCTAGTAATGCACAGTTCAAAACTGACTTTAACAGATCTTCAAGCAAATAAGTCCCCAATGCAACATGTACGAAAGATAAAGAGATGTACCTGCACGCATTTAAAATGGCAGAAAATGTGACAACATTCGGTTTGATGTCTAGCTCGTGCATCTTCTGAAAGACTCCCAAAATGCACAAGATTTCTTGTCTAACCTTCCTATCTTTTATTGCATAACCTGCTTTCTCAGCTGAAAGTTGCCCAAACATCTTCATAAATCTGTTGTCTTCCCTATCTCCCACATGAATCTCAAAGACCGTCCCTCCACTGAAGATGAAGATCCGGTCTGTAGCACAATGCCTCCGGAGCAGCATCTACTACACATTCTGTTGTTGCTGACAGACCAAAGGCATCAATTATTGAATTATAAGTGACAATGTTAGGTCAAATGTCTTCCTTTGTCATCTCATCAAGCAATGAAAGAGCAGACCACAAGTCCATTTTTGCACAAAGCATTGATAAGTTCACTATAAAGCACAACTTCAGCCTTCAGCCTTCAGCCCTGCGTGCTTAAACTCTTTAAACACCTTCATTGCCTCTGCATACAAACCACCTTTTGAAAACACATCGATCAATGTTGAATACGTTAATATGTTTGGTGATACACGTTCTTCTTTCATCTCATTGACCATTCTTAACCCACCAAGAAGTGCGTTATATGACACAACAACCTTTGCAATCCCAACACTCTCCATCTCCTTGCAAACATTCAAAGCGTCCTCAAACCTACCAAGCTTCCCATAAAGTGAAAGCAATGTGTTATATAGAACTCTGTCCACCGATGGCCAAAAACTTCATTTCATTAAATAAACTGAGTGCCTTTTCTAACCTACCAGCCTTAGCATATGACATATTCATCAATAATAGTACTAAAAGTAACCACATTAGCCAAAATGTTCTTCGAAGGCATTTCCGACATCATCTGATATGCCAAATCCATCTGCCCACCTTTACAAATCGCATCTAGAAGTGTATTGGACGTATAAATATCCTGATCAATCCCTCTATCCACCATCTCACTACACAGATTTTGAGCTGCCTCCCAGAGTCCCCCACGACTACCAACCGCAAGGAGTGAATTATAAGTAATTCGATCGGGCTGTACCCCATTTGTCAGCATCTCATTGAAAATCTCCACTACCCTCTTAAACCCCACTCCCCTTTCCCATGCGCATCAATCACCGCGTTCTAAGTAACCAAATTCGGCTTCAAGCCCGAATCTTTCATTGACTCAAGAACTCTTGTAGCCTCCTCACAATACCCACTTCGCCCATAAGCGCTAATCAACGCAGAATACGTATAAACAGATAGTCAGTGTAACAAATAAAGTATTAGAATGATGGTACAAGTGGATGGTAAGTGTAACAATACTCTTATAGAAATCATATAGAACAACTATGCATGAGAGGAAAAGAGCGGACTTGGACGGTGAGAGAGACTTCCATAGAACGAAATCCTTTCTGCTTGTACTCCTTGTTAAGTGGTTGATCACTTCGACATCAGTGCAGCCTTTGCAGATGCAACATGGACATACTTTTTTTTATTTTTATTTTTTATTTCTATGTCAACGCTTCTCAAGGGTTTTGCTTTTATCCAACAAGCTTTCAACTTCAACCAACCGATCGCTACTCCAAATAAGTGATTCCAAGGATCTGCACATGGTAGTAATCATCGTGCAGTGATCTAACAAAATAGTCTCCAGCCTTTATGTTTTCTTGTACGCACAGAATTGTGTTACCAATTAGATTCAAATAGATAGCAGTAGCTTGTTCTAGTGCAATTAGGAATGTTATTGGGAAGTAGTTCCTGTTTCTCGCACAACGTAAACTTGTATATATTTATTTACCTCCACAACGGAAAAGAGTAATAAATCAGATACTTTAGTGTAAGACATACATATAATGATATAAAGAACATATAACAGAAATCAGACTCACAAGAGCTGAGTTTTTTTTGTACCAAAGACCATGAAATGGTGTTGGATGGAGGCTAATCCTCTATGTCCACGTAAAAGGAATCGGTGTAACATTCATTGGAGTAGATGGAACCATCGTCTTAGCAGGAACATCTTCCTTAAATAAGTATGAAAAACCAAGATAATCTGGTCTCTCCTGACTCCTAAAATGAAGTTGATGAATACGACTCCGATGATTGCAAAGAAAGAATTTGCCCGTCCACAACTGATACTTTGATGCTGACGCAGATACATTTCCAGCAACAAAAACCGGGCTAGAAAGAGTTGTATTTGGTTGGAATGTCATATCTTCACTTTTTGATTGAACACCCTTCCCCTCATTTTCCTGCTCATACACAAGCTGGATACCGAATTCCTTCGTCCAGAAACTATATTCTTCATTCATGGAAAAACGTACTTCATCCCCGCCCTCCAGTTCATCGTTTCCAAACAACCAATGGCTTAGCCATAACATATCATGGTTCTTTCTCGGGAGACCTGCTCTGACTGGGCAATATGTCCATTTAAGACCCTTGGTCTCATTACTGACTTTAAGGAAGTTTGAACTGCTAAACCAAAAAGGACATCGCGAATATACAACACAAGCATTCAAGCCTCGGACCTTGAGATTAAGATGTGAAGGTACAATAATAGACAAAGTGGAGTTACCCAGGCTTCTGTAAGGGAACCTATCTGGAATCTTGTTTCCGTGAAGGAAAGCGCTAAATATGCCACATTCATACAATCCCTGTTTGATGGAAATCACAGAAATCATAATCATTAAAGAGAAACTACTAACAGTGCGTGCATCAGAGAGAGAGAGAGAGAGAGAGAGAGAACCTGTATAGGACCCTTCCTTCTTGTACGTGTCAAGTAATTGGTCATCTCAACTTCAGTTGTTCCTACGGATTCCAAATTGAACAGGCCCATATCTCTGATCATTTCAATGTCAACCCTTCTCAATGGTTTTATATTGAACAAGCTTTGAACTTCAACTAAATTCTTGCACTTCCAAAAACTTGAATCCAATGATCTGAACATGTTTGGTAAATTTGTTATTTTTTCCAATGATGTACAATAACTTGCATGCAATTTTCTTAAACTTGGTGGGAGTTCTGGAAGAGTTCGGACCATTGTGCAACCTTCAATTACAAGAGTTTGAAGCGTAATAAGATCATTCAAGTTTTCTGGTAGGCTCAAAATTGGGTTTCTACTTAGATTCAAATGCTTCAATGAAGATAGGATACTAAGACCACTGGGAATCTCCGGAAGATTGCAGTCAGCTAGACTTAAGCTTACTAAGCCATTTGGCCAATTTGCCGCTGACAAACTGCGGGCAGTAACAAGATGTTTCCTGAGTAATATCCACAGTCTCCACAACCACATTGATTGCGATAGCTTAGCTGTTGATATATTGAGTTTCTTCCAAACACCAGCTGCAGCATTGGGGCGAAACACAAGCTTTGAGCAACCAGAAAGAATCAGTTCCTGTAGAGATGTCATCATGCTAAGTCTTGTTGGAAGCTTTGGGAGATTTTTGCAGTCTTTTAGATTCAAGACAATGAGTTTCTCTAGGTCTGCAATGGATTCATCAACCAAAACCAAATTTGTGCAATCTTTAAGAACTAATTTCTCAATGTTAGGGACTCCCGAAAAGTTGGGGGTTCTCACAAGACCATGTGAATGACTGACATTAAGGAATTTCAGTCTTGGAATAACCTGTTTCAAACAGATGGTACTTAGTTTGGGTAAGTACGTGATCATAAAGATCCCTAAATTTGTGTATGCATGGATTTGTTTGAGAGAGAGAGAGATCTGTATCATACCCTGGGTCCTTGCCAAAGATGATGTAGCCTGCTATTCCGCAAGTCAAGACCCACTAGATTTTCCAAATATAAATCTGCTGGTATTGATTTTAAAGGGAATACTCGCCAAGATATCCATTTTAAATTTTTTGGAAAATCTTTGTAGCCTCCACTGATGATTACATTATTGAGCAACAGAAGTTCAAGATTGTGCATCCTTGTAAATGCCTCTGTTTTGAAGTCTACCTCATTTGATTCAGAAGCAGAATTTGTTGGCAGAAAGGTAATAGATTTCCAAGAGAAGAAACCAAGCCGTCGCCTTGAGACTTTTTCATGGTAATCGTCGACATGGTATCTCTTTTTGTTACTTGTATTAAACATTGTCTTGCCAGGAAGATTGAGCATGAGGCCCTTAATGGTTTTTGTTCCCTGCTACCAGATCCGAACATTGGGTTAGTAACTAGTACACATGCACATCACAATAGTACAAACATAAAAACATTAATAAGACCATATTTCTTACAGTTAATTTTCTCAAAATATCAGAGGCATCATTCTGTAGCACTATACTACGTTTCCCAGGGTCCTCGGGCGACTCTTCACGAATAATTCCCCTTCCCATGTCTATAAGTAATTGATGCATGACCAACTTGTTGTCTTCATCTATGTCTACTAGACATCTATCAACTAGATTTTGAATTCCAATCCTTGTGTAGAAGTGTAAATTGTCCAGTACTGTAATTGTATAATCTATCTTCTTTCCCACGAAGAAAGAGACTATATGAAGGAATAAACTTCTGTCATGATCATCTTGTAGAGAATCAAAGCTTATTCTAAGTATTTTTTGAATTTTTTCATTAGGAATGACGTTTAACTTCTGCAGCGCACTTTCCCATACTTCTACACTTCTTCCAACAAGAGAAGATCCCAAAACTTGAAGTGCTAATGGTAGCCCTTGACAGTGCTGTACTACGGATCTTGTTAGCTTGATGTAATCTTTGACAGGACGCACTTGTTTGAAGGCATGCCAACTAAAAAGCTCAAGTGATTCATACTCACCCAATCCTCTAACCTTAAACATTGCATAAACTTCATGATCATTCAACAAACTTTCATGTCTAGTTGTAACGATTATTTTACTTCCTGGGTGAAACCATTCTCGCCTTCCAAGAATTGCATTGAATTGGTCAGATTGGTCCACATCATCAAGAACAATAAGAACAGTTTTGCAACACACAGCATGCTTGATCTTGCTCATTCGTTCACCCATACTGTATACTTTCTTCTTTTTCCCCTTTTGGATATCCGAAAGAAGTTTTCTTTGCAAAAAAGCCAAACCATTAGGCTGTTCTGAAGTTGCTCTAACATCTGCAAGATAGCTGCAACCTTGAAATCTGTGGAAGTTCTGGTTATAAGCAGCTTTGGCAATGGTGGTCTTGCCAATTCCACCCATCCCATAGATCACAGCTACACTCACGTCATTTGATCGATCTTTCAGCCACATGTTTATGCCCTGCACACGCTTATCTATTCCAACCACATAGGGAGCAATCATTTCTGTTGCACAATGATCCAGTTTATTTCCAATCTCTTCGACAATATTTTGGATAAACTGTGACTCATACCTACAAATTGTAATGAATGAATGAAAATCCTGTGGTGCCAATGCAAATTGAGTGGACATATAAATATTGAACAAATGAACTTTCTAGTTCTCATAAAAATGTTCTGCTAAATCAATTACATAAACAAAGAAAACAGCAAAGTCCAACATTAACTGCATGTATGAAACTTCACCTAGAATATTGTTTTCATGTTTGTAGCTGTTTTCTGCTGCGTTTTCGTTAGGTATTCATTTAAGTTTTAATGAAATGTTCATGTCGAGAATATAAAGTTTTTGGGAATGAACTTACATATCTCCTAAAACCATTCCTCCCACATCTGCTACATCTCTAAGAGCTCTTCTCCACTCCATCACCTTGTCCATCTCCTCCTTGAAGCGTTCTTCATGTCTAGCAAATGCTTGTGCAAAAGTTCCAGTCTGTTTCCTAACATGGGATGGATCCACATCATAGAAAACTGGCATAACCATGTGTCTGCAATCAGTTTTTCTACGTTTCATGATCTTCACCAGCTCATCCAAGCACCATCTTGAGGAAGCGTAGTCCTTGGAGAAGACAATTATGGATGCTCGTGATTCTTGTATCGCTTTCTGTAGCTCTGATGCTATGTTTGCTCCTCTGTCGATCCCATCATCATCTCTAAAGGTGTGAATTCCTGCCAGCTCCAGCTCCCTGTAGAGGTGATCAGTAAACCCCTTACGTGTATCTTCGCCTCTGTAACTCAAGAACACATCATAAGTACACCGGTAGGAGGTGGAAGAGGCATCGAGCTGAGCAATTATTGCAGCCATTTGGCCCCGAACTTCGAGGTCCCGATCGTCAAACCAACGTCACACGAGGATGAGCCGGCGGTGTCGAAGCGTCTGTCGAAGCATCTGCGAAGTCTCTTGAGAAGAGGGCGTAATAGGAAAGAAGAAATGCATTCCCGATTCCTTCACCATCCCGGAATCCAAATACCTCACCCATGGAGGCCGAGGGAGTCCAATTCCTCCAATTTCAGGAATTGAATGGATGGTCAAAATGACAAGTTCCAGCAGCACAACTGATAAGCTTGTTAGACAAAGAGGGCATTCAATTGGAATTTTGAGAGATTTTAATTTTTTTAATGAATTTAAAGGTATTTAATTAGAATTTTAAATAATTTTCTAAAATTCAAGTATTCAATTAGAATTGTAAGATAGTTTATTAAAATTTCAAATATGGGTGTATTCAATTAGTAATTTTAAAGAAGTGTATAACATTTCATGTGTATTAAATTAGAAATTGATTTTAAAGAATTTGAGAAAGTTGAGGAATTAGAGGGAATTGGAGAGATTTCGTAATGTATTTTAAGTATCCACAAATCTTACTTCTCTCCATGCGATTTCGAGGGAATTGAATCAAAATTTTATATGGAATCTCTACAAATCAATTAAACTCCATAAAAATTCATGGATTTATAAATCCATTAAAGTTTCAAATTCTCAATTGAATACTCCCTAAATCCTCACTCAGTTACAGTCAACACCATTTCAAGTGTTTGAGTTGTCTTCTAATTCTTATCTTCAAACAGTTGGTTAAGCTTATGACTTTTTCATATGTTTTGTAGCTGCGTAACTCTCTTATCTGTGTATATTTGAATTTCAAATATTCCTTGTAAATGGGGTTTTCAAACCCTAAATGTAATCTCTAATGTATTATAAATACAAGCAACCCAACGTTAATTGGGTATGCACATTGGTGAGAAACTTGGCGTTCTGTTCTAGCTTTTCCAACCTTCCATAACTTAGTACAAAGCTGTGCGACGTAGAATGTGGAAGCTTCCTCTATTATGTTTTTGTATTTTATTTCTATATATAACAAATTAACAATAATGTGGACCAGTTTTCTGTGAGTAAATGTTCAAACAAACTGACTTAATGGTTACGGTGGACTTATTTGACTTAATTATTGAAACATCAAGTTCTGCAAGTAGACAACAGAAGATGACCTCCACGCACTCCCTGGTCTTTAGAGTAGAAGGGGGGTGGGGGACCTCCATGCACTCCCTGGTCTTTGGGGTAGGAGTGGGTGGGGAAGACGTGGAAATGGGAACTTGATTTAGTCTTTTGAGCGACTCATTAGTTTAAGACCCAAAACAAATTAATATGCAAATTTCATACAGATAAGAAACGATGGGGTGTTGGTGTTGCACATCAGAGTACGCAACAAATGGAATATAAACTTTATTAAGCAAACAAAGAGAAACAATGAATTACCAGGAAGACTACATAAACTTTAGAGATTACATATTGAGAGCTACGGGTTTGCTGTTCCATTTTTTGGGTCTCCATTGTTCTCTTTGCTATTGACACATGTTTTATAACTTAACTGAGAGATAAATTTGTTCTTTTTCATTTGACATTCAAAAAAACTTCAAATACGATCAAATATGCATACGCGAGCGTCTTGGTAAATCTAACATATCTTCCTCTCATTCTGTCGTCTCTCAAACCCTTGCAAAACCCAGCCATCTAAATCTTTGCCCTCATAATGTGCAATAAGAACACCATTGATCTTGTATATTTCTTCTTCTGCTTTCTCAAGGACCATTCTATCTTCACTTTTTTTTTTCTACCAATTACAATGATTAAAAAAAACACTCTTTTCAATGATTAAAAAAAACACTATTTATGGAGCAAAAATAATTCAAAAAATCATAGAGACGACACATGAACTTTTTCTTAGGAAAAAACAAGAACGCCCTCATTAAATGGGTAGGGCACATAAATATTTTCACGCACAGCTCATCATTCCTGGAGGTCCAAGTAGTTGACTACGATTGCTCAAAGCTCTTCTGCTCGTGGCGTGGAAAAGTCAAAGACACTAACTATTGGATTAATTACTAAATCTCCATCAAGTAAGGAATCCTTATCACAATCAATCATTGATGCTTCCATCATCATCCCAAGATATATCTCCTTATTGATATCTTGAAAATATTATTTCCTCATTCATCCAACAGATGACACATCTTGACCAATAGCACTATGTGTAGAGCAAAACCCTAACCATATGGCTAGCCATTCCTCCCTATAAAATACCTCATCACCACCAAATTTTTGGTAAGCTTTTGCTACGCATACAAGCCCAAAACACTCACTTTTTTTCCAGAGATACTGACTTAGGCATTGGAGATCCATTAGCTAAACCCCTCTCAAACCTTGTGATCGCGTGAGGCTTTGGTTTTTGAACAAAAGTGTTAATTATTTTGTAGATACACATTCGTCAAGATTCAAGATGGCAGATTTTTGCTACCATACAAATTGGTGCTTTCATTGAGAGGTTGATTCAAATACTTGAAGAAGCCTCAGGCAATTACTTTTTGGAATTTTATGTTACTTGAATTTCTCATACACTCCTAGTCATTGAAAATTTTCCTAGAAAAAATCCTTAATTAGTCCTTGGAGTGGATACAATGGTAAACATTTTTGAAACCACGACAACCGGAACGCCCTACGTTCAAGGATATGGACCGAAAAACGGAGACCAAGACGTAGCTCCTCGTCAACAGTGCTCAAGGCTCAACGCGACGGCAAGAGGAGCCCCACCGCCGCAGAGCACCACCATCACAGTGGCCATTGCCTAGTAGTCACCGCATGGCCGACCTAAGGAGCCCAGCAGCCAACAAAGGGCCACTGCAGCAGCTTAAACCGAAGCCTAAGCGCTAGCAATCCACTTTGCCACAACAACCTCATCGTAGCACATCGAGCCCACGGGCAGGAGGCCCAACTCGCTAACCCGTGCCGAACTCCAGCTCGAGGCTAGGCGGACCAAGCCGACCCCGCTTAGCGCCCGCGCGTCTGACCCACTATGCCGCCCCAACTCCCACTCCAGATTGATCCAAGACCAGTTCAGCAGACCAGGATCCTGGTCACCAGACAGTAGATTGAACGAAAGGTATTTTCACCCTTTTTTTTTAATAAGTTTGCCCCTCCGTGCCTAAGTTTTGCACATGCAGCTCACTACACTTCCACGACTCGGGTGGAGTGGCGGCCCAAAAAGGCGGTAACAAGATTAGATTTTTGCAGAAGGAGATAAAAGAGAGGGAAATGAGGAGCTGGGGGCGGAAGACTGCGCCTTTGGGGGGTGGAACGCTGTGGTTGGAAGGGTAAAGTTTGAGGCTTTGGGAGCGAGATTTGTTGGGTCGTCCATTGATTGGGTTGGTAGGCATTGTGCTGAGATTTTAGGCTGTGGTTTTATGGGTACTGGTGGCCATTTTATATAGAGAGAGATGTATATAAATGGGAGAGTTTTTGTTAATGAAGATTTAGGAAGCCTTCGTTGAGAGATAAAGACATCTTAAGAACGGAAGGTAAAGGAAAATGGCAATGGAAAGGAGATCATAATGATCAAAGTCAACCTTCTTACCTCGTTCCACCAGACTTCACACGAATTTAACTAGTAAAATAAGATAAGAAGATAAAAACAGGGGTTTTTGAAATTAGTCCTTGCAATATATTAGAATTTTAAAAATAAAAAAAAATATATGGTGCTAGATTACATATTTAATTTAATGGAAAGGGATCCTCTTCGGATTCCTTCCACCAAATCTACCAATTCGGACCCTTAAAATTTGATCCAACGGCTAAAGTTATTATAACTTTTAAAGAGGATCCCTGTTTTTAGCCATTTGATCAAATTTCAAGGACCCGGATTGGTGAATTTGGTGGAAGGGATCCAAAGGATATCTTTCCTAATTTAATCTTTTAAAGTGTACTTTTATTAAAATTTATATTATATCTTTGTTAAAATTTTAATTTTATTAATATGCCCGTATTCTTATTCAAAAAAATATATACACATATTAATTCTTTCAATTATAAATGAATATAAATGAGAAAATATTTATAAATAAAAAAAGCGACACGCAAATATGACACATCCCGACTCGGAATGTCCATTAGGACTACAAATCGAGCTGTACTGGGCGACATCTGGAAGGTGACGAAGCCATAAAGTGTGATGATATGTAAAATGTGAATAAATTTAATCCTAAAAGTGTCTAAGTACACGAGTGCGCGGTGAGCGGGTATGGACCAATTTCACACATGACATCAGAGCATAAGTAAAGTACAGTAGATTGTAACATCTCACATCTTCCAGGGGAGTAGATCTTATAAGCCTTATATGTATATTCTCTCTACCTAGCACGAGGCCTTTTGGAAGCTCACTGGCTTCGGGTTTTGTAGGAACTCTGAAGTTAAGCAAGTTCGCGCGAGAGCAATCCCAGGATGGGTGACTCACTGAGAAGTTCTGGTATGAGTTCCCATAAACAAAACTGTGAGGGGGTGGTCGGGGCCCAAAGTGGACAATGTCGTGCTACGGTGGAGTCGAGCCCTGGATGTGGTGGGGGTCCAGGCCGCGATGTGACAAATATGTAAATACATAAGTGTACAACAATGATTGTACCGAGATATATTATAATAAACTTAAATGTATGTATCGAAATGTATTATATTGAATTAATGTACCTAAATATCAATACCGAAATATATGTACCGAATGTACTATATTGAATTAATGAACTGAAATTTGCGTATCATAGTGTATGTACCGAAATGTATTATATTTAATTAAAGTACTTATATATTTGTATCGATGGATATACCTAAATATATCAAATGAATTAACATACCTAAATGAAAGATTATACAAATTATATCGGAACATATTATACAAAAAAAAAATTAGTTTACTTACATGTAGACATCAAAATATATTATGATGAATGAAATGAAATGAAAATTAAATGTAAAAATAGGAAAAAAAAGAAAAAGAAATACAACATCAAAATATAATTAATAAATGAGATGGTTAACTGTATTAGGGACTAAAATTAGATTTTAAATTTTAGACATGATTATAGTCTAAAACTCATCTTTTTTAAGGATTAAGATGAAGTTTTGTATAAAAAGAACATAATTATTTATTTAGTAAATAACAACATCAGCAAACATCAGCTAAACTTGTGATTAGAAGGATCTAATCACAATCATTTTCTTTTGAGACCCTACACCAATTTTTTTTTTATTATCAAACCTTCCTAGCTTATAGTTATACAAAATAAAATTTGAAACAAGAAATTAAAAGTATCAATCGACATATAGTTGCAGTAAAAATAAATTTGTCATATCGTCATACAAGAATATTATTGGTTTTATTTCGTTTTTATGTGGTAAAAATGGACTAAACATTTCTTCGGCAATGTACAAGTCACTTGGCTCCATGAATGTTCGAAATTAACAGACAGAGTAAGTTTCCTCAATGAATTTAAGTAAATGGGACGGTGAGGATAATATAGAATTTGAGAGGAGTTTGACTATATCAGGGGAGAGTTTGCTATCAGAAATTGTAATTTTATCTCTGTTTGATTCTAAGGAGATGGTTTTCCCGGAAATTGCAATTTTCTAAGGACAGATATGGTGTAATTTCATAGTTCACATCGAATAATTATTTAATTAATTTGTTTCTAACTTGTTTTTAGTTGTTTTAAGACTTTATAATTGATCAATTTTCTGGAAAATATGGGAAATTGTTTTCCAATTGATGGATTGCTAGTGTTTGATTCCGAGACTATATAACGCGAACGAAAGAAGTTTGTTCATATAGATGTAGTAGCCTTTTACTGGTAAAAATGTTTTTTTAGCATATGCATAGTTTTCATCAACAACAACAAAGTTTTATTTCACTAAGTGAGGTCGGCTATATGAATCCTAAAACGTTACTACGCTCGGTTTTGTACCATGTTTTCCGTTAGATCCAAGTAGTTCAAGTCTTTTCTTAGAATCTACATGCACAATTTTCAGAGTAGAATAAATTGTTACCATTTTGGCTGGATTGGATTGCTTTGTAATTTCATAAAGTCCCGTGGTTACAAGGTTGTGAGAAATTGTGTTCATGGTTTCTGTTTCTCTGTGACTTTGTGATTCAGTGCTGGTTGTAACATATGTATTTCATAAAGCCCCCCACCTCTCTCGTTCCAGTGGATACGTCTCTCGGTGTTTTTCCGTCCCCTTTCCTTGAAATTACACTTCAGGATCAGAACCTCCAACTCCATTATTCTATAGCACTAGGCCTTCATCACAAAAAAACAACATAATTCTCAACACAACACAACACATCACATGTACATTAGTTAGTACATAAAGCTTAATTGGGAAAATTAGAGAACTCAATGCTGACGGCATCAATCAGAAAGATAGGTGGGAATTGAACTTCTTTGTTAAACTAAGAATTTAAAGTTGTTTTATATGTTCGTTATGAATTTTAGTTCAATTGAATTACGAGGATTGGAATCTCTATTGTTAGGAAGAATTAGTGCAATTGTAGTGGCACTTGCATTTGTTTTGAACGTACAAAATATTTGGCCTTTTACGAAACAGAAATGTGTTGACCTTTAAAAATATTTCCGCTGATGATAGTAAACCTTGCTCCTGAAAATAAAAATAAAAATGGACCCCATGAACTTGGACCGAACCAGAAAAAATTGGTTGGTTCGATTTCTAATAGGTGGAGAACGGTACGAGACAGAGAACCAAACTGGAGTGAAACAAACGGTTGGATATCGGTTCCAACTTCCAAATATGGTACCGAACCGAAACGAACTTTTTATTTATTAAAATTCGACAAACCACGTGGCTGGCTTTAATTGGTGGTAGCCGAGTACATACATGGACTCTACCACACCTGATCACTCTTTTTCTCTCCCACATTCTCGAGTGCATCGAACACTCTCACTCTTCTCAGTCTCCTCTTGTCTCTCTTCTCCGTGTTAGCCCCAACCGTCGGCTCAACCTTGACCTGCAACAATGGCGGTTGTAGAGATAGAGAGAGAGCAATTGAGCAATTGTTTAATATATGACAAAAGCCTATTAAAATGACCCAATATTTAATGCTATTACAATTAAACCCCCCAAATTCCCTTACAATTGAACCCTTCATTACAATTTAATCCTTTTCTTTGTGACCAAGGCAATCACACCAATGAGATCACATAACAGGCCGAACGAAACCCTAAAAACCAGTCGGGTCGTCCTCTCCTTCCACCACCCCAAGCTCTCTCTAACGGTCTCTCACCAGTCACCACTCACCAAGTCGTCAGTGTATTGGCGTGAGTAATTTTTAGGGAAATAGGAATGTAAGTATTGTGCAAATATTAAAGCATATCCAAAGAAGATGCAAAAATGTACACATCAGTTATAACAGTAAAAAAAGACCATACTAATATTCTTCAACTGAAGTGCCAAATCCTATGTGGTGATGATATGAATTGGCAGCAAAAGAGGTTGCTGTCAAAATTTGACAGCAGCTTCAAATGTTTTTATTAATTATTAAATGTATTTTATTAATTTTTAATTAATTTAATAATTTATTATAATTAATGTTGAGTTGATCGATGCAATTATCCTACTTTTCTTCTTCTTTTCAATCAAGGAAAGTAAACAGATTACTGATTAAACTTTAAATGTCATTTATTAAATTTTAATTAGTTTAATAATTTATTTTATAAAATAATAACATAATAATTTAATTTGACATATCGGTTGAAGAACAAAACTTTAAAAATGTCAAAGTACCACATAAGCTGTCAAAATATAAATTTTATGTTCAAAGTTTGACATCATCTCTTTCAGAGACGGTTTAGAGTCCTTTGTTAAGAAGGATATCTCTTTGTGTCGTATTTTGTTACCTTGCAGAACAAGGAATCTACGTACTAATATACCAAATTATACAATACATTAATTTAATTAAGCCGTAAATTTCTATACCATCGTTATCCCCTTCCGGTCGCGTCCTCCACCACCAAACTCCCAGTCGCGTCGTCGACGTCCTCCACTGGTTTTCTTTCTCTCACCATCGTCCTCCACCACTAGCTGCTAAGTGCTCACTTCGCCACTCCAATCTTAAGGTAATGCAACTTCTTGAATTTTTTTTTGCATATTATAAATTAGGGTTTTGCTTGATACATGTGATTTTGTAATCAATTATCCAACTTCCTTGTAAATAATTACATCCATTTGATGGCTTTATTTGTCTATCATCGCCTGCTTCACCATTACCATGCACTTTACAAGGTTGCAGTATAACTTGTAAAAGGACGCCATGTATATAGGATTTATTTTTTAAAATCAAGAAAGAACTTTTTCAAAAATTCGATAGGCAGAACCAGGCTGACATCCATGGAAAAGGGTTTGCTTTGGTGAAACACTGTGTTTTCTTTAGGATTAAAAGGGAGTTTTGCTTGGTTGCTAAGGTGAATTTGGCTCTTTTGGAAATTACCCATTTTCCTGTTACTGAACTGGATCCTTTTTTCTTTCGTTTTCTATTTGTACTGCTAATAGATAATTTTGATTTGGTATTTTACCAATCAAGTTTTCCTCTGTATTGTGTAGTGTAGTTACTTGCCTTCATTTGCAATTTATAGTCAAAACATTTCCTTTTGTTCCGTCCAAGATGCATATCATCTTGAAAATACAGGAGCATGTAGCTGAACCTGCAAGCTATATGTATATTCATATATTCATATATTGTAGTTCTGATTGCTTCATTGGCTTCTTGTTTTAATCCATTTACAACCATTATAACCTTTCTATCATTTCCTCTTGGTGTGAACTGTGAAGTGTATGCTATTCATTTCCTCTTTATACAGGGTTTTGAGAAAGCAGAGAAACGAAGGATATCATGAAACTAAACCACGAAGCCATTCTAGAAATTAATGTGATTCAGAACCAGGCCCTTAAAGACGACCATGATGCTTTCAGTGTTGTAATTGGAAGCCGGGCATCGGTAATTGATGGGGAAGATGGTGATGCTAATGTTAAGGATATAACAGTAGAAAATTTCTCTGTGTCTGCTCGGGGAAAGGAACTTCTAAGGAATGCATCAGTGAAAATAACACACGGGAAGAGATATGGTTTGGTTGGGCCCAATGGAATGGGCAAGTCTACTCTCCTGAAGCTTCTTGCTTGGAGGAAGATTCCAGTACCAAAAAATATTGATGTGCTTTTGGTTGAGCAGGAGGTAGTTGGTGATGACAAAACTGCTATTGAAATAGTTGTTTCAGCAAATGAAGAACTTGTCAAAATCCGAAAAGAGGTTGCAGATTTGCAGAATTCAGCTTCCGCTGATGGAAAGGACGGTTTGATGATGATGCAGGAGAGAAGCTCTCTGAATTGTATGAGAAATTGCAGTTGATGGGATCAGATTCAGCTGAAGCTCAGGCTGCAAAAATTCTTGCTGGGTTGGGGTTCACACAGGATATGCAAGGCCGTCCAACTAAGTCCTTCAGTGGTGGGTGGAGGATGAGAATTTCATTGGCAAGGGCACTTTTTGTTCAGCCAACTCTTTTGTTGCTTGATGAACCCACCAACCATCTCGACTTGAGGGCTGTTCTCTGGTTGGAGGAATACTTGTGCCGCTGGAAAAAAACTTTTGTCGTTGTCTCGCATGATCGAGATTTCCTTAACACAGTTTGCTGTGAGATTATTCATCTGCATGATCTGAAGCTTCACATCTACCGAGGAAATTTTGATGATTTTGAAACTGGTTATGAGCAACATCGGCAAGAGGTGAACAAAAAGTTTGAAATTTATGACAAGCAGCTGAAAGCTGCCAAAAGGAGTGGAAATCGGGTTCAACAGGAGAAAGTCAAGGATAAAGCAAAGTCTGCAGCAGCTAAGGAAGCATCAAAGAACAAGGCCAAGGGAAAAGTTGATGGAGATGATGCACCAGCTGAGGCTCCTCAGAAGTGGAGAGTTTACAGCGTGGAGTTCCACTTTCCTGAACCTACAGAGCTTACTCCTCCACTTCTGCAACTTGTCGAAGTCAGCTTCAGTTATCCAAATCGGGAGGATTTCAGGCTGTCAGGTGTTGATGTCAGTATTGATATGGGGACCCGTGTTGCCATAGTTGGACCTAACGGAGCTGGAAAGTCTACTCTGCTCAACCTTCTTGCAGGTGATTTGGTTCCTTCTGAGGGTGAAGTACGGAGGAGTCAGAAGTTGAGGATCGGTAGGTATTCACAGCACTTTGTGGACATCCTGACAATGAGTGAGACCCCAGTTGAGTACCTTCTCCGGCTTCACCCAGACCTTAGCAAGCAAGAGGCTGTTCGTGCAAAGCTTGGAAAATATGGACTCCCCAGCCACAACCATCTCACTCCCATTGCAAAATTATCTGGAGGGCAGAAAGCCCGGGTTGTGTTCACATCCATATCCATGTCAAGGCCCCACATTTTGCTGTTGGATGAACCGACGAATCATTTGGATATGCAGAGTATTGACGCACTGGCCGATGCACTTGATGAATTCACAGGTGGAGTTGTACTGGTGAGTCATGATTCAAGGCTGATATCGCGCGTGTGTGAAAACGAAGAGAGGAGTGAAATTTGGAATGTTAAGAATGGCACGGTGACCCCTTACCTTGGGAATTTCGAGGAGTACAAGGAGGAGCTACAAAGAGATATTGAAAGGGAAGTCGATGACTGAGGTTTGCACTCTTTATAGTTGTAAAATTTTGTTGATCATTCTAAAGATATTCCAAGAGTTTGCTTATTGCTTGCACATTTTGGGGTTTGGAAATTGGAATAGGGTAAGTTTTTGTCACGGGTATCTGTTAGGTTATCCATTTCAATTCAATACTAGTCCTAAACACGAAATGAGGCCTACAAGGTGTTTGAACTTGGTTGTCAGAATATTATATGGTGATTCAAGACTACATTTGATATATGAATAATCGTCGCCTTCGTGCTTTGAATATAAATTTACAAGGTAAAGGCAATTACAAAATGTAAGTAACTATAACATTTTTCAACAATCAAAGCCGTCTATATTTTAGTATATTATTCATAGATCATTCTTGTAAAAAAGTAAACTTATAACCATTAAGACATTCAATTATAGTGAAGTAAATAGATGAATAAGATTTTTCAAAAACATTAATACAACTACCATTTAATCCAACGGTCAAATGGTTTCAGATTTGAATGACCTTTGAAATAAGACTTAAAAATGGACAGTTCGATCTCGAATTAGGATGTGAAGTGAACTCTACAGAAGGTCACTTAAATAAACTTATTTGAAAGAAACGGAGACTGTAGAAATGAAAAGCAGTGAACGATGCATACAATCCAGCTAATGTAGTTTGAATGTTGGAGCATTTCAAAGACTTCCACACTTGTTTCTTCTCTTTGTATAATTGCAATAAGGTATGAACTGAGTTATTTTGCAGCATAGCAACACAGAAAGACATGTAGAGAAGGAGAGAGAGAGAGAGACAGAGTGAAATAAAAAATGGGGTTGAGAGCAAGAGCAGCCGGAGCCTTACCAAACCTCATCCGGACCCTCCGGAAAGAAGCCCACAACCCAATAGTCACTCCCATATCTCAGGCGCACCTTCTTTCTCTACGATCATATCAATCTCATCAACAATATCCCCAACGACCAGCTTCGCTTTAAGCGGTACCTGCCTACTCCTTAATTAATTTTTTATTAATTTTGATTACTCCCTAATTAATATCACTTTTAGCCACTAATTATTACAATTTTTTCATTTGTGTTGGTGAAGTTACACAGAATGGATTCACAGTGAATGGTGTGGATTATGAAGGAAGCTTGCTTTGTGTTGGCAATATGTTAATGTCTTGGGCTCCCACCAAATTCTCTGATGTCACTCCTCATAGGTATTTGCTCTCTACTTTCTTTCCCTTTTTCTTTCATTATACATGAAAACTTTGCGATATCATGGATAGTGTGTTGATATACTTGTCCCAACACAATGTACCGCCATGTTATTTAAGTGCATTTTCTGCCAATTTCGGGTTTAGACAGAGCATTGGTAAGAAAAGGGAAGGGTGTGGCTCAAGATTGCTCTTATTTTTCTGTGGAAATTATACCGAATAATCAAATTGGCATAAGACATTGGGTTACCTACTTGCCTTTGTGGTACACATTATGTCATTGATATGCCTGTGAATATATTTACTAATTGAGTTGAGCAGTGAGCTAGCAGTCTAAATTTCTTCTACATTGTTGTGATGCAGCTTTTCAATCTTCCAACTTGTGCAGCCTATACCTTGTAAGTTTCAAACTTCGGGTTTAGGTTGGCCTTAGTCAATTACTTTAGGTAGACACATAGGTGGAATTCAGAGGAACAAATTTCCTTTCTTTAAAAAACACCAAGTCAATATGCGACCAGTTCCTTTGTACAAAACATGGGCAGACAGCTTAGAATACCTCGAACATTCTGACACTAATAATCTAACATTCTCATGATAACACCCAAAGAAAACCAAAAGGGTCTTGGATCTTCAAGTAACTGAACCGAAAACCTTTTTATAACTATAGGCTACAGGGAATATTGTTCTTCACATAGCATGTGACCAAGAATAAGCACGTCAATATACATCCTTTTATTGTTAACTTGTAGCATTGTGATCATGTTTCATCCTTTGCATCCAAATCTGAAATAGTGTTGAACTAGTAGTACATGTCATTCTGATGGGAAATTAAAATGTCAACTAAACTGATTCAATCATGGGGTTCTTTTAATTTGCCTTCCAAACAGATTTTCTTTTCCTCATCTCCCCTGATTTGTATGGCTCTTAAAATGATTCTAATAAAAACAACGTGTCCCTGCTCCTCGTCTGCAAGCATATGCTGCTGCCGCACCTCCTCCAGCTTCTGCTACGTCCTCTGGCCCTCAGAACTGGCTCTTTGACTCTGGAGCCAATGCTCACATCACCAAAGATTTGAATACAGTTTCCAATCCCCGCCCATACACTGGTTCTGATAATGTCCATGGAGTGGTTGATGGATCAGGTTTGCACATTTCTCACGTTGGTACTTCCTCTATTCAAACACCCCACCATTCTTTCACTCTACCTAACATCTTACACTGCCCTAATGCCTCTACTAATGTTATCTCCATTAATCAATTTACCAAAGATAATAATTGTTCACTAACATTATATCCAACCTCCTACCGTGTCCAGGACCTTCAAACGGGGAGGACGCTTTTACAAGGCCGGAGTAGAAATGGCTTTTATCCTTTTTCAAGTTCTTCTGTGGTCAACAATGGAGTCTCTGCATTCATTGGTGTTTAGAGTGTCGGATGCCATTTGGCATTCCAGGCTAGGTCACCCAGCTTATTCGATTTTACGTCGTATAATTTCTAAAAATAAATTACCATTAACTGGTACTGCCACTTATGATTTTTGTTCATCATGTCCTTTGGGCAAAAGTCATAAGTTGCCTTTCAATTTGTCTTCATCAGTGTCATCTTTTCCTCTTGAATTAATACATTCGGATGTATGGATTTCTCCTTTTTATTCCATTAATGGTTACAAGTATTATGTTGTCTTTGTGGATGATTTTTCTCGTTATGCATGGCTCTATCCCTTAAAGTTAAAATCTGAGGTTTTTCACACCTTTGTGGCGTTTAAAAAGCAGGTTGAAAACATGTTTGACACTAGAATTAAAAATTTCCAATCTGATGGCGGAGGAGAGTTTGTCAATTCCTCTTTTAAGCAATTTTTTTTACAAAATGGCATTCATCATCGCCTTAGTTGTCCACATCATCCTGAGCAAAACGGTCTTGCAGAGAGAAACATCGACATATTGTCGAAACTGGTCTAACGCTCCTTGCTCACGCTTCTCTTCCCCAAACTTTCTGGGATGATGCTTTTCACACCGCCAACTATCTCATTAATCGTCTTCCAACAAAAATTTTAAATGGCATCTCTCCCTTCCAAAAATTATTTTCTAAATCGCCACAGTATGATTTTCTCAAAGTCTTTGGTTGTGCTTGTTTTCCATATTTACGTCCATACACTACTCATAAACTCCAATTTCGTTCCAAACAATGCATTTTCTTAGGTTACTCTTTAAATTATCAAGGTTACAAATGTTTTGATCCTTCCACAGGAAAGTTTTTCATGTCTCGTCATGTTGTATTTAATGAAAAGTGTTTTCCATATCAAGAACTTACTACTCCACCTTTGTCCTCCACCGTTGCCTCAGACCATGTCATGGACATTGACCCATTTCACTTTATCCCACCTAACCCTATCCCTCCTACTCCTACCCGTACCCCACCACATATTTTACCCCATATCCCTGCCACCTTATCCCATCCACTGCCTTCTGCTTCCAATCCTACTCCTACCCTACCTCTCTCTACCTTAGACTCTCCTTCCCACACCATCACTCCACCCAATCCCTTGAATACTGGACCAACCAATGTGTCCTCACACACTCCACACTCCACTCATGGCATGATCACGCGTGGTCAACAGGGAATTCGTAAACCTAATCCTCGATATGCTTGCATCACTGATGTTACCAGTTCTTTGGTTGAGCCCTCTTGTTTCTCATAGGCAAATAAATTTCCACAGTGGCGCCAGGCCATGGCAGATGAATTCAACGCTTTACAGCTCACAAAGACGTGGACTTTGGTTCCCTACAAGTCTTCAATGAATGTGTTGCCAAATAAATGGGCCTATCGTATCAAAAAGCGGTTCGATGGTTCCATTGAGAGTTTCAAAGCGCGCCTTGTTGCCAACGACTTTCATCAGCAAGAGGGAATTGACTTTGGGGAGACTTTTAGTCCTATTGTTACTCACGCCACTATTCGGTTAATTCTCTCCATTTCCCTTCATTTTCAGTGGCCTATTCGTCAACTTGATGTTCAGAATGCTTTTCTTCATGGGACCTTAAATGAGGAAGTTTACATGCGCCAGCCTGCGGGGTTTATTGATCCTCAATTCCCCTCTCATGTGTGTCATCTTCGAAAATCTTTATATGGCTTGAAACAAGCACCCCGTGCTTGGTTTCAATGTTTCTCCCACAAACTTGAAGACTTGGGATTCGTTTCTTCACAAGCCGACTCCTCCCTGTTTACATATTTTGATGGGTCTACCATCATTTATCTATTAATTTATGTTGACGATATTTTAATCACGGGTAACAATGGTGCTCAGTTGTCTCAGTTCATCAAACAGCTTGGACATCAATTTGCAATGAAAGATTTTGGGCCGTTACATTATTTTTTGGGCATGGAGGTTTCACAGACGCCTTCTGCCATGTATCTCACTCAGTCCAAGTACATTATGGATCTTCTCAAGAAAACCAACATGATTGACGCCAAGCCCCTCTCCACGCCCGTCTCCAGTGGTCGACGTTTGAGTTTATATGATGGTGAGCCGCTCTCCGATGGCACTACCTTCCACAGTATTGTTGGTGCCCTCCAATACCTTTTATTTACTCGGCCTGATATTGCCTACACTGTTAACCAAGTGTGCCAGTTCATGCACTCTCCCACTACTGCACACTGGGCTGCAGTGAAACGCATTTTGCGGTATTTAAAAGGTACTCACGATCACGCCTTAATTTACAAACCCAGCAATCTTCATCTCACCGCATTTGCTGACGCTGATTATGCTGGCGATCCGGATGACCGTCGTTCCACTGGCGGCCACTGTATCTTTGTCGGGGATAATTTAATTTCCTGGAGTTCGAAAAAGCAACGTGGTGTTCCAGATCAAGCACCGAAGCTGAGTATCGTCAACTAGCTTACACTTCTGCGCATTTGTCGTGGTTTCACAACCTTTTCCGTGATTTACATTTACAGTTACCCCCACCTCGTCTCTGGTGCGACAATATCAGTGCAATCGCAGTTGCTTCGAATCCTGTTTATCAAACCAGAATGCGCCATGTTGAGGTAGATTA